GGGGAGAAATGAGAAAAGGGATTTGGAGGCCTATAAAGAAGGAGAAAATCATACTGATAGATAACACTATTACATTGAAATTAATTTTCCTTAAGGTGTAATTTACTTGGTTCTATAGGAAGTTCCAGGGTACGTCTATCCTAACAGAGAGGTTATAGAGGTGGGAACTGGTACCATTGTGTCCACAGTCAGGAAGCAGAGAACAAGGAAGGCCGGTGCTCAGCTTGCTGTCTGCTTTGTACTTAGTCTGGGACCCCAGTCTGTAGCATGGTGGTGTGGGAGGTCCTTCTGTCTGTGTGTTGCTTTTCTCAGTTAATGAATAAAGAAACTGCCTTGGCCTGTTGATAGAGCAGAACTTAGGTAGGCGGGGAAGATGGAACTGAATGCTGGGACAAATATGGGCAGAGTCAGAGAGAGAAGGTATGGAGCCGCCAGAGTCAGACATGACAAATCTTTGCCAGTAAGCCACTGCCACGTGGCAATACACAGATTAATAGAAATAGATTAAATTAAGACATAAGAGTTAGCCAATAAGAAGCTAGAGCTAATGGGCCAAGCAGTGTTTTAATTAATAGAGTTTCTATGTGATTATTTTGATTCTGGGCAGCCGGGATGAACAAGCGGGCCCTCATCCAACAGGATGGTGTCAGCTACAGGTAACGAGGGTCTTCCTACCTAACTTAATCTAATGTGGAAACTCCCTCAAGATGTGTCTACAAGTCTGTTCCTGGCAAGGCAGGGGAGGGGGTCCCTGCAAGTTCACAGTAGGCGGTAGGCAGGGAAAGGCACCTGGAGAGGCAAGAAGGGGAAGTGTTCAGCCCAACTTAATTGGTGCTGGGTCAAACTTCTAGAGAGTCTAGCAACAGGCAACTGCATGTTGCCAGCATATTTAAACACAGAACACTTTGGAAAAGTTTCCAGAGAACAATCCTTACAATTCCAGGTGCACAATAAAGCTTAAGGTTTGACTGTGTAGAAACTCCTTTACAAAGTGTATATGACCATGAAGATGGGTTCTATAGCTTGGCCTAGGATCTGGTGTGGTCTCTAACAAAGATAATAGAAATCAGCAGGCTATGAGTACATGTGACATCTCCCCTAAGAATGGGCTCTATTAACTAGAGCTAAAGATAAAAGCCTAGGGCTAGAGGTCTGGGATAAACATTCTGGGGGACTTGGGTGAGGTCTGGCTCTACAAATAGCAAAGGTCACTAGGTCAATAACAGTATCTATCTACTTTCTTTCTTTCTTTCTTTTTTTTTTTGTTTTTTGTTTTTCTGAGACAGAGTTTCTTTGTGGCTTTGGAGCCTGTCCTGGAACTAGCTCTGTAGACCAGGCTAGTCTCGAACTCACAGAGATCCGCCTGCCTCTGCCTCCTGAGTGCTGGGATTAAAGGCGTGTGCCACCACTACCCAGCTCTACTCTGTTTTCTGGGTTGAAGACAGGTATTTATTTCCTCCATTATGGAGACACCCCTGCATTGGTAACATTCCTGGTCTCTTCGATGTTTATCGGCTAGCAGGAGGGCCTCTGGCCCTATGCATGTTCCCATGGTGAGTCTACATTCTATAAAGTTGACAGTCAAGACTAGCCATCATAATCGATAAGCCCACTGAAAGAGCAAAGTGGTGTGAATGTTTTCTTCTGCAGGCTCAAAAATTTTCAGAATAAAAGATGAGAAGCAAAAGTGAAAACCGAGGAAGGCAGGCATCCACCGAAGAGTAGCAGTGGCCATGCAAAGGTGACCTCTGCTCCTGGCTTCTAAACTCTGTTCCCAAACTGTGTGAGGAATCCAGATTTCTAGATTCTTTTTTTTTTTTTTTTGGTGGGGGGTTGTTTGTTTGTTTGAGGGTTTTTTTCTTCTTTTTCTTTCTTTTTTTTTTTTTTTT